CTCCTAAAAAAGAGTACCCAAGACAAAAGCTTCGTTAGCATAGTTCCAAACTCAGTTCGATCCTATCAATGATCAATTGCCGACAAACCAACCAAAAGGTTACATTTGTATTAAAAACTCCATTTGAAAAGTTAATTATTTTAATTGATTATTTATTTTTTTTATTATTTTAATTTGATTAAAATAATTATGTTTAAAAAGTTAGTTGAATTTTTTTATAATTAATTTAATGATTATAAAAGAAAAGGTGAAATAATTATGAATTAAATATGATATTTTATTTTATTAACTATTTTAGCATATTTTGGTAGCGTTTGGTAGAGTTTTAAAAATAAAAAATGCTTGGGAGCACTAATTAGTGCTCCCACTAATTAGGTGGCAGTGGGTCCCGCCAGTAATAATGTGATGTTTTGGTCTTGGAGTTGCATTTTTTTTTTTTTTACTTTTTTAATGCATTAGTGCTATTAGTGGTGATGTTTTTAGTGGGATAAATCATTATTGGGGAGTGAAAGTCAACATTTGATGCCGTGCGATATCACATCATTTTCCTATTAAGGAATTTAAGCCATTTTTTTGGTTTCACTAGTCGGAAAATGACAATTCTAGGTAATTTAGAGTTGTTTAGGATATTCTAAATAAGTATACTTTTTGAATTTTTATAAAAAATGAATTAGGTTTGAAGTAATGTGGTAAAGAAATGATATGACTTAAATAAGATGATGTGACTTAAATAGGATAGTGACTTTTTAACTTTTTCTAAAGATGCCAAACTTAGCCTTACACTTTCATAGAACAAACGTATTAACTTACTTAGCCTTCGTTTGGGTGTGAATTTATATTTTAACTTTTTTATTTTTTTAACTATTTTAATCTAGGGGTTAAAATGTTTCGTTTGGAATTTTTTTTTAATTTTTTTAAACTTTTGTGAAAGAAAAAATAAAATGATTCAGTCTGTTTAGTTTGAGTTTTTTGAATTAAGTTTTTTAAAAATTCAGTTTTTTAATTTTCGTGTTTTTTTGTTTTTAGTCAATATTTTTAAATTTTTAAACATTTTTTTTACTTTTTTGGATGCACCTTACTTAGATGTATCTAAAAAGTAAAAAATTTGTGAAAAAATATTTTAAAATTTTAATAAATACATAAAAATACAAAAAATGTATTAAATTCTCGTTTTTTTTATTTTATATTTTTGGTATTTAATGAATTTTTAAAAGATTTTTTTCACAATTTTTTTACTTTTTACGTATATTTATGTTAGGCATGTCTAAAAAGTAAAAAAAAAAATTCCTTAAAATATTTAAAAAATTCAGTAAAAACAAAAAAATACGAAAAACAAGAAAGTAGAATTTTCTGAAAAGTGTTTTTGAAAAAACACAACCAAGCAAGCTGATTATGATTTTAATGTGATATTTTGTTTTATTGAGTTAAAATGCCTATTTTATCTTTTTATGACTAAAATAATCTAACCCAACCCAAACCTCCATGCCAAACACAGCCTTAGGTTGTAAGATATATAAAACTAATAATATGTGACATTTGTTTGAGATGTGGGTTGATTTTTTAATTTTTTGATTATTTTACTCTGAGGCTAAAAGTCTCGTTTGAAGTGAATTTTTTTGACTTTTTTAATTTTTATGAGAGAAAAAATAAAATGATTATGATTTGGATGTATATTTTATCTTATTGATTTTTTAACTTATTTTGTATTTTTATGACTATTGACTCAAAAAATTTATGCCAAACATAGCCGTAATCAATATTGAATCTATAAATTAACAACTAATGTCTCGTTTGGGAACAGACTATTTTAATAACTTCTTAATTTTTTAGGTAAAATATTAGATAAAAAAATTAGTATATTTGAAATGATTCTTTAGTTTTTTACGAAAAGATGTACAAAAAATAAAGAAAAAATAGAACTTTTAACTTTTAAACTAAAAATATTATATGCCAAACGAGGCCTAAGACTTGTTCTCCTCGTCATACATCACTATCCTCGTCACCATTATTATCCCGCCATCAAAATCATCATTGTATATAATTATTACTAATCTTTCTTAAACCTAAGGGCTATGTCAGAGTGATTACTGTGTACTCAGGCTTAACTGGCTATGAATTATTTTAAAAAGTCTAATTTATTAATTTGATAGCTTTAAGTAGTTGGCTTATTTATTGAGCATAATTTAATTTTTTTTCTATATTATATAGATATAAAAATAATATACACATCGTGTTTAGGCATGGTTTGGGAACAGGTTTTGGCGGATTTTTGGATTAAAATAACCACAAAAAACAAAATAGACTTTTTAGTCAAATAAGGCAAAACATCTCATCCAACCTATAATCATTACATTCTTTCTGTCGCAAAAAAGTCAAAAAAGCTAAAAATCTTTCCCAAATCAAGTTTTTTAGCTCCAGGTTAACACCAAGGATCCTCTAGAGTGAAATTTTCCTAAAGTTTCCTTGTACAAAAAATAAAGAAAAAATAGAACTTTTAACTTTTAAACTAAAAATATTATATGCCAAACGAGGCCTAAGACTTGTTCTCCTCGTCATACATCACTATCCTCGTCACCATTATTATCCCGCCATCAAAATCATCATTGTATATAATTATTACTAATCTTTCTTAAACCTAAGGGCTATGTCAGAGTGATTACTGTGTACTCAGGCTTAACTGGCTATGAATTATTTTAAAAAGTCTAATTTATTAATTTGATAGCTTTAAGTAGTTGGCTTATTTATTGAGCATAATTTAATTTTTTTTCTATATTATATAGATATAAAAATAATATACACATCGTGTTTAGGCATGGTTTGGGAAAAGGTTTTTGAGGATTTTTGGATTAAAATAACTACAAAAAACAAAATAGACTTTTTAGTCAAATAAGACAAAACATCTCATCCAACCTATAATCATTACATTCTTTCTGTCGCAAAAAAGTAAAAAAAGCTAAAAATCTTTCCCAAATCAGGTTTTTTAGCTCCAGGTTAAAATAGCCAAAAAAATCAAATAACCAAAAAACCAACCGACTTCTCAAACCATACCTTAAAATGAACTAAATATTATTAGTCAAACGTTTTTTTTTTTAAACAACTCAACCCAAACCCTCCCATTTAATAACGGGTTTAAACAGATTTAGTTGAATTAGACAAGGGTTGAAGAAATCAACCCAATCAACTCATTTATGTCTATATATATAATCACGTATATTAATATAATTATTTTGTATTTATTTTACGAAAATGAAACTATTTCATGCATTACACAAATAAAATTGAATCACATTTTATAATCGTAATAACCCATAATTAAATCATACGGCAAGCGGCACAAATTGGTAAGAACATGTATTTAAATAAGTTTTTCTAAATTGAGGTGATAATATAATTAATCAGTCTCTTTCTGTTATAATTAACGGTCTAAATACATGTAATGTTCAGTTTTTAAAATTGACTGCAGTTTTGGGCTCTAATCTTTACCAGACTATGTTAATTGCCAGTCTAATTATGCTGATTTATAAGCAATTAAAAATTAAAAATTAAAAATAAAAGCAGAATCAAGTTTGACTAATTTGTATTACCATTCTAGATGATAAGATCATTAGTCCTAGTCCCATACTGAGACCATATTGGTTTATTGAATTTTGATCAATTTGTCTTGTTTGATTACAAAATTAATTACTGAAATTGAACAAATTTAATATGTTTGATAAGGCATAATTGAAAAATTGCTGAAATTGGGGCTTGGATTCTTAATTTTCAGTCAAAGAGATGAGTGACGTGATCGAATAACATGTTTATTATATTAAAATTTTCAAATTTCTGAATTTAGTTCTTTCAATATTTTGGCATTCATAATCTAGAAATTAATTTTCAATTTTATCAAACACATTGAGGATAAAGAGGTACTTAGCTAATTAAAAATGAGCTTATTGTGGACGGGACTATTTAGTCCAACCCGTGGGCTCATCATGGGTCCTAATTCAATAATCTATTTTGCTCATTCTAGATTTCAATGTAAATCTCATTCATGAAAAATATCTGTCTTCATAACAAATAAATAGATTATTTTTAAAATCATATTAGCGTCTATTTTTATGAAAATAAAGATGATAAAATTGCATCGCTCTGATTATCGGAATGATCTGATTTTTTTCATAGACAATCGACACACTGAAACTTAAAAAATGAATAGAATAGATCATCAAAGTGGAACCCATGATGGGCCAATGAACCCGACTAGATTGTCCAGTCCACAGAAGCTTGGTGCAAAAAGTTGGCGACTAAACTCACCAATTTTCTCAATTTAGGGTGCTTTTTGTGTTATTGAACTCATTTTTCACTTTCTTTCTTTTTTTTTTAAGCTAAAAGCGAAGTTGTCACTAAGCTCCATTGCTAATAGATATTACCAGGCTGCCCAATACTAATCATGTTTTGCTAAAAAACAAGTTTTACTAATTTTATGGAATTATTGAAGTTGACATTTTATATTTGATTTGATCTATTAAAAAAAAAACAACTCCTTGTGATTTCCTACACAAAGTGTATGACCTTGCATACATATCTATTAATTACTTGAATAAGACAGGTAGCCTAAGTCAATAAATATTTGATTTGATAAGCATGCGAATTTTCATTAGCAATAATGTTCCACTAATTAATAAAAATACTATTTTCCTATGACTAATATGTTACATTTAAGAACTAATAAATATTTCTATCTAATTCAAGTCGAGTCGAGTAATATAGATTGTTCAAATTTGATTTGTTTATCTTAATATGTTTCAAAATCTATTAAAGTTCAACTTATTTACTTTTTTGAATTAATCACAAATAAATATCAATCTAAGCTCAAGTAGCTTAATTTGTTATAATGCATATAAAGTCATCAAGCAGAATAGTAGATTATTCAAATTTAACTAACTTATAAAACAAGTCGATCTCCAACAAGTTTTTTACAAAACTGAACACGAGTAGATGAGGAAGGGAATAACCTAGTTCATTTGAGAACCCTATATATCTAAACACAACGTGTTCAACAATTCAAAGGATTACAAACAGTCGTGGTTTGATTTATATATAAGTTTTTTAAAAAAATAGTAAAATGTATAGTTCATGAGTCATTACTTACCTAATTACAATAGATGGCATGGATATGGTTGGAAATAAAAAATAATAATAAATACTGGAAGGAAGGAAGAGGGTATGATATGGGGTGGGCATATTACCAGAGAAGCAGCCACCGTATCCGCTGTCACCACAAAGTGTGTCTCTCTCAACTGGGCTGGTTGGTTGGTCTTGGTCTTCATCTACATGAATTTTAATTCCATTCTAACCATTACAACAACAACTCATAAAATAATAATAATAAAAATAATAAACTAACGCTGTATTTGGTTGAGAGATTTATGAAGAAATTTGAAAAGAGAAATGGAAAAGATCTGTGAAACTAGGTGAAAGGTAAGGTATATTTTATTCACATTTTATCACATTTTTCATTTTTCTTTTCAAATTCTTCTTCAAATCTCCCAACCAAACACAACATAGATTAGCTAGTTTTCACATAAACATAGAGAGAGAGAGAGAGAGAGAGAGAGAGATCGGTTGAGAGGACAAATGTGAGATTTAAAGTCAGCACTATATAATCCATCACTATAGTCTCCATCAGAAAATGAATCAGTTTGAAACAATGCATATTATACACCAAGTGAAAGAGAGTAGGCTGCTGCTTGACAACTCCACTTTTGTTTTGTTTTGTTTTGTTTTCTTTTGCTTTTTTTTTTTTTTTTTTTTTTTTTTTTTCTTGATTTAGTAGACTTTCCCATTTGTGATGATTGATTATCTTTCTCACCCCACTTTTTTGTGGCCCAGGTCCATATATATATATATATATATATGTAAACTTGGTTCACAAGGACCCTAGTTTTTTAGAAAGGTTCGTCCGAATCAATTTCTTGTAATGTTTTGCTATGTAATTCTACTCTATATAATCACAAAAGTACATAAAAAAATATATATCATCTACAAATGTCCACATTAGACTATAAATCTTATCCGACTATGAAAAGAAAAATATGGATGAATTAAAATAAAACAAATAATAGTGAGGTCGACGACTATAAATCTTTTATTTTTTTTCAAACCAATATATTGTTTCTTCTACACATCCACCTCCATTCATAATGGAGAGTCACAATAGATAGGATCCCGCATGGGAAAAGCCTTTCCTGCAATAGGCACTAAGATATTTTTAACGTATAAATAGATTTGGTAATTGTATCTTAAGAATTTCAAAAAAAGTTGATGAAGAGAGATAACTTTATTATTTATATTATATATATTTTCATTATTGAGTATGTGGTTGGGGTCTTGGGTAGTCGGTGAGACTTAAATACAAAATCTATTACTTACTCTAATACCATGTTAAATTATTAATGACCAACTCATCTAAAAGTTTAAATTGTTAGAAAGAGTAACAATTTTATTACTTATATTATACTCTCAACACTACGGAAGGTGGTATTGTTAATCTCACGCCATTTCGAGATTAACAATGCCATGGTACTACTAATCTCACTAAAGAACAAAAAATAAATAAATAAATAAATAAAAATCATACAAAGCTCACATGAGCCCCACGATATTATTAATTTCACCCATTTTTGTCAATCAAACACATTATTAGAGAATAAAAAAAATAAAACATATATAGCTCATATGAGTCCCACAGTAATTATACCAATCCCAATCACCTCACTTATCAAGCAAAGCCATGGGGTCAACCAACTAGATGAAGTATTGAGTGACGCTATCAATCAGCCCTGATGGTGTGTTAGTGAGTATTATAAGTCATAACCCACCATGCACTCAAAAGCAGACATTAAACTTGGCCCTAACATACAATTTGTGCGCGACTCAAAACGGCCAATGAACAAAAGCCATCAAGCCCATCACCCACCACCTTTCATGAATGATGAGGACATATATAGTTGCTTGGAAACTTCCTAAAAGGTGGGAAAAGCACTCCCCTGAATATGTGTTAGAAAACGAGTTTAATAGAATAAAAGGTTGTAAACTTGCAAGGCAACCCTGGAAATTCATGTTAGAAATCAATAATATTACCGTAATTAAATTGAACATCATTTGATGTAATATGTTACTAATATAAGACATAAAAGATTGAGTCCATTATTGATTAAGGGATGAGCTTGTCTCTAGACCATCATGTAGACTGAATTAGTCTAGTTTAGTCAATGTTTTGGAAGTCCCATTCATTACCCATAACAAATATAGAACCAAGAGAATAACAACATGACTTCCAATATACTTAAAGAAACAACATTTTGTATACCCCCAGCAAACTTATTATCTTGATCACTTCAAGTAGGTGGTTTGATTCAATTCAATTCTCAATCACATCCCAACTATGTTTGGTTGTGTTGGTTATAAAATAGAATTGATGTCCTAAAAGGTATCCTATTTCTTTATTTATTTCTCACCCCCTTTCTTTTCCCATATATTTTTTATTATAACCAAACATAAATAGGATTACATTTCTCACTCCTTTTCCAAATCCCACCTCAAAAACTTCAACCAAACACAGCATTAAAGAAACAACATTTTGTATACCCCCAGCAAACTTATTATCTTGATCACTTCAAGTAGGTGGTTTGATTCAATTCAATTCTCAATCACAAACATTGCTTAATTATTTCCCAAACAAAAAGGGAATTTATTCAAGGGGAAATATAGCCAGGGTAAACATCAGGCACATTTAGTGTTTAATTAAGAATGGATCATCCTAGCATAAGCTTCATGTCACTAATACAAAGCAATTATCGAAGCTCCAACTTCCCCAAGTTAATGACATTCTAGTAGATTCACACATCTACTTTTGTTACCAAGCCATATGAGGAAAGGACTGGAACATACTAATGCTCTAATGAACAAGAAGATACCAAAATTACACTCTCCTAGTGATAATCAGTGGAGAGAGAGCGAGTGGAGGACAAACCTAGCAGACAAGCAAAGAAACTCAAACATCAATCCAAATTCTACAAATGATTATATAGACTGTGTTACCAAAACAACTAAACAAATGCACTTGAAGTGGTTAAAAGCATAGTCATTAGGATAGGATAAAAAATCAAAGTAATAAAAAATATCAATTTGACTCGTAAACAAAAGCACAATACAGTACTTCTTTTCTTCTTTTTCTTTCTTTTTTTTTTTAAAAAAAAGGACAAGACTATAACATGGACTCGGATACAAGTATCAGATGCCAATGCATGTCTAAGCGTCAGATCTTCCAAAATCTAAATCTTGGAATAGTAGGAATGCATTCAAAAGTAGGGCAGAAATATGGGGACATGTTTTAAACATTTAAATGAATTGCATCTTGATATTCTTAGATAAGATGTTATAATTTATTTAGAAATATGAAATATATGTCTCTCATTCATGTGAAGAGTTGAAAATGTTTCTTTACTTAAAAAAAATGTGATTGTCTTCTTCCTCTTCCAACATCATATAAAATAGAAGAATCCAAGTGTTTAAATTAGATCCAGGTGTCGGACTCCAATACTATCCCGTGGGCACAAATACACTGGAGAAAATATAAGAGTTCATGTAACACAACTTTTACAGATGGAGAGTTAAAATCATTGATCTACCAAGCAATTGACTAAAACTTTCTAGAAAACATAAATGACAGGTGTTGTCAAACAAAGTTCGAACCACTAGTCCAATTTGCTGGTTCAACTGTTGAATCTGATACCACTGATTCAAAAGCCATTTAATGCATTGATGGACTTCAAATAATGACATAGACGTGTTACCATTCAAGATGCTAGAAAGAAGCATCAAAATGTTGGAAATGCACCAAGGGATCAGCACTTTAATATAATGTTAAAGTTCAGATTTCTTGACTTATTTGCTGTCTATGTAAGCAATTTAGGGCCAGCTCAACAATATTTAAGCCTTCTTTTTCTTTTGTAGTGAAATTTTTTGTAATGAAAACAAATAAAAGTGAGGTCGGCAACTATAAATCTTTTATTTTTTTTCAACCCAATATGTTGTTTCTCCTACACATCCACCTCCATTCATAATGGAGAGTGACAATAGATAGGATCCCGCATGGGAAAAGCCTTTCTTGCAATAGAAACTAATATATTTTTAACGTATAAATAGATTTGGTAATTGTATCTTAAGAATTTCAAATAAGTTGATGGAGAGAGATAACTTTATTATTTATATTATATATATTTTTATTATTGAGTATGTGGTTGGGTCTTGTGTAGACGGTGAAACTTAAATACAAAATCTATTTCTTGTTCTGATACCATATTAAATTATTAACCATCAACTCATCTAAAAGTTTAAATTATTAGAAAGAGTAATAATTTTATTACTTATATTATACTCTCAACACTATGGAAGGTGGAATTGTTAATCTCACACCATTTCGAGATTAACAATGCCATGGTACTACTAATCTCACCAAAGAACAAAAAATAAATAAATATATAAAAATCATACGAAGTGAGCCCCCACAATATTACTAATTTCACCCATTTTTGTCAATCAAACACATTATTAGAGAATAAAAAATAAAACATATATAGCTCATATGAATCCCACTGTATTATACCAATCCCAATCACTTCACTTATCAAGCAAAGCCATGGAGTCAACTAACTAGATGAAGTATTGAGCGACGCTATCAACCAGCCCTGATGGTGTGTTAGTGAGTATTATAACCTACCATGCACTCAAAAGCAGACACTAAAACTTGGCCCTAACATACAATTCGTGTGCGACTCAAAATGGCCAATGAACAAAAGCCATCAAGCCCATCACCCTCCACCTTTCATGAATGACGAGGACATATATAGTTGCTTGGAAACTTCCTAAAAGGTGGGAAAAGCACTACCCTGAATATGTGTTAGAAAACAAGTTTAATAGAATAATAGGTTGCAAACTTGCCAGGCAACCCCCCATATTGGGTGGGGAAGAATTCCCCTGGAAATTCATGTTAGAAATCAATAATATTACTGCAATTAAATTTGAACATCATTTGATGTAATATGTTACTAATATAAGACATAAAAGATTGAGTCCATTATTGATTAATTGATGAGCTTGTCTCTAGACCATCATGTAGACTGAATTAGTCTAGTTTCGTCAATGTTTTATAAGTCCCATTCATTACCCATAACAAATATAGAACCAAGAGAATAACAAAATGACTTCCAATATACTTAAAGAAACAACATTTTGTATACCCTCAGCAAACTTATTATCTTGATCA